GCGTGACAGCCAACTCCTTCCTTGCAGCCCCTGGGCTATGTACAGGTCCCTCCTGGTCCCATCCAGTTAAGCCTCATCTCTAATTAGCCCTTGCTCCCTGGCTCCTCCTCCAGGTGCAGCCTAGATGCTTAATTGGTCCACCTGGCCACCTTAACCCCTTCAGGCCCTGTGTGGGGTGAATACCTATCACAGAGATCCTGGGGGGTGATCAGCTGAACATGAGCTCCCAGTGTGACGCTGAGTTAGAAAGACCTGAAGGGTGGTTGGGGCCCCTCCCTTTTTCATGCCCTTGGGACCCTGCAGCAACCTGGTGGGCCAGAGAGTGGCTCTGGTGCATGCTGCTCTCCAGAAGCTCAGGGTGGGGGAGGGGAGAATGGCTCCACTGGACTCTGCCCTGTGGAGGCTTTCAGAAACTCGTGAGGGTGGCCTCAAGGGGTGCAGCAGTGGTAAGTATGTCTGGGGGCTAACAGGAGCAGCAGGTCAGAATAGTTGCTGCAGCTAGGGTGACCAGACAGCAAGTGTGAAAAATCGGGACGGGGATGGGGGGTAATAGGAGCCTATATAAGAAAAAGCCCCAAATATCAGGACTGTCCCTATAAAATCGGAACATCTGGTCACCCTAGCTGCAGCAGATGAGTGTCAACTGCCTGCAGCTCAGGACCACTCCAGAGTCCTCCTGAGCCAGGGAGGAGCAGCAGCTGAGGAAGGGAGTCCCCTCCAGGCTGGCCACTGAGGGATCCGAGAGCTCAGCACAGTTTCAGTCCAACACTTGTGTTCTGTCTGGGTGTTAGGCAGTGCCCCTCACCAGGGTATTGGGGCACACTAGTATCATGTGTGCATGCAATTTCCATTGTGGGTGGAGCCTGGGAGAACCTCACCACCTTTTTTTTTTTGTAATTAGACCCTTGCTCCTAGCCCTCTGCTCAGCCCACTAGTCCTATGCCCCTCCCCGAAGCACAGCAGGGACAGGAGCTCTGGGGAAGTCACTTGATCCTGCAGTGGGCTGCTTAAGGCCCATAAAATCCAGACCAGATTCCAGGACTGTACAGAGTCTGCACTATGATCCAGACACATCAGCGGCTTTTAATAATTACATAATCTGTCCCCACCACACACACACACACACACACATCCACAAACTAGCAATCCTGGCTGAGGCCAACAGAACAAAACAAAAATGAGGAGGTTCCATTTCAAGCCATTTTGGAGCAATGATGAGCTAAAGCACAGACAGGAAACTTCAAAACATGAACGTTTTGTGAACCCTAAATTCCATCCGGGACTTTGCCCAATCGGCCTTAAACTTTCCAACAAAATTCTACCCTAGCATCAGCTCCTGCGTGTGAACCGTCCAATGGCCAGGTTAGTTTTCATGAAGTTAGAGTGGTGGCTGTCCAAACAGGGTTCATAATAGCAAGCAACTTGCCTCTTTAGCTATGGGGAGACTAGCATTCCTCCAGAGTAAAGTTTGGAAGGTACTAGCTCTGCCAGACATGCTGGAGCCTGCCAAATCTAGCTGATGTCCTGTTGAAACATGAACATGATGGTACCTCATCAAGGCTCTCCCCAAAACAGCTCTTCCTCTCATGAGTATCCCCTTTCCTAGCATTGTTTTGGAGGTGACCCCAGTCTTCTGAGCATATGCACAACGTGCATTGTGACAAGGATTCATCACCAATTTGGTCCGCTGGCTGGATCATTAGCTTCCCCAGCCCACGCCAGATACTGACGGGGAGTGTGACATGAACACTGATCCCTACCCCCTGGTGACCTCATTGAACTGACAGATCCAGCCCTTTTGCTCCTGCCACATGCTTGCCTCAGATACCCAGCATTAGAGATAGCACTGCTTTGTCAGCACTAATAAACAAACGAGTTAAATTGCCATACAGCCAATGCCTGCAGGGAAGGACGTCATGAAGCTCTGAAGGTTACCGGCTCCTGAGTGTCCGGAGTGAGGAGGTCGCAGTTTGTGTGGTCAGAGTCAGTGGCATGTGCTGCTCAGTGAGCAGACTAAGAACAGCGACCTAAGTGCTTAGCTCACCTGAGTTACCTCCCTGTGTGCCTGGCTGCTGCTCTGGATCTTTAAACCCCTCAGAATGATGCTGAGCCTTTCTAACAGCAGAGTATAATCTCCTATAGAAAGAATTCCTAACCCTCCAATTCCAGCTCCCTTTGTGCGGCAGCCCCCAGCTAGAAGGATGAGAGTTACAGCATGTGGAGATCAGGGTCTTAGGTTGGCCCACAATTGGAAGAGGTCTGGAGGTGCCACTTGCACAGATCTCCCCTACACTATGTGGAGAAGGTGAATGGGGTTGGCCACCTCCATAGCATCCCTCTCTTATGATGTGATGTTCTCATTATAATAGTGCATAAGGCCATAACTGACCTGCTGGCCATAGAATAGGGGCAGCTGTGAACTCTGCACTCTTCTCCACTGGCCTCAGTCACCACTTGCTGGATCACTATGTTTAAGGATAAGAAGATAACAAAGGCTCATCCTAGGAAAAGTGCTGAGACTCTCAGCTATCCAACACTGACAACTGGGCTTGTGATATGGACTAAAATCTGCAACCCCCTTTTAGCTCCTTTGGGCACACCCAACGGAGGCACTCCTTAGGCAAATGGGGCATGCCCAGCTACTGAGGTAGGGAATGGGATTGCACAGGGATACAGCTGGCTCAAACCTTTCTTAGGAAGGAGTGTGGGATGGGACGAGAACATGGTCCCCAAGATGAACAGCCACAAATCCCATCAGGAACCACCACCAAGTGCTTTGAAAAACATACAGCAGGCAGTGAGACTGGACCATTTCCATCAACATTTATTGTGAAAGCTCAGTACTGGTCCAAGAAACAGACCTCAGGCCATTAGGCAGATTTCTTGCTAACAGAATAAAAACAACTGGAAACACAAAGTAGGAGATGGAAATAGCAGGCTGTTTTGTTATTTGCAACTCAGTGAGCTTGTACCACACAGCACAAATCATTGCCCTGTGCTTGTGATATGGATTAAAATCTGTAACACCCTTTTAGCTCCTTTGGGCACACCCAACGGAGGCACTCCCTAGGCAAATGGGGCATGCCCAGCTCTGACAGAAGCAATTGCAGTGGCACAGATCCAAGCTGCTGAACATCCAATCACAAACTGAGCACCTACCATTCAACATATCCCATCTTTTCCTGTGTTACTCAGAATTTAAGAACAAAACATTTTTAATGAATTATTATTTCATCAAAGTGTCTAAACCCCTCTAGTGACTGGCCTCTGCCCCTCCCCCAGGCAGATCAGCCCAGCCCCTGGCTTAAAGCTTTCCATTCTCATTGTGCAGGGATAGTGTGCACAGAGCTGGTGCAGTGGATGGGTAAGCATTGCAGACTTCACCTCTTCAGTAGAACCTCCTGTGCTAAAAAACAACAACCCAATAAACCCATGGAAACTCTTGTGAAGTCACCTTTCCTTCCCCAATGCTCACTTTTCACTGGAAGAAAAGGGGGCTGCCCAACCCATCTTTGTATCCTGTGTTGCAAAATCTGGATCTGTAATTCTCCACTGGTGCAGATCCACTAGTGCTAGCAGCAGAAGAAGCTGTAAGTGTAGCCTTTTTGCACTACCATGGAACCTAATCCTGCTGGTGGTAAGAATGTCAAAGAGTGTCTGCTCTGCAGCCTCCACATTCCCCCCACAGGTGGAGATGTCTAGGTGGGGAATGATGGAGTAGCTGTCATAACTATAAAGGGAAGGGTAACAGCCCTCCTGTGTACTATACTATAAGATCCCTCCTGGCCAGAGACACCAAAATCCTTTTACCTGTAAAGCTCAGGTAACCTGGCTGACACCTGACCCAAAGGACCAATAAGGGGACAAGATACTTTCAAATCTTGGTGTGGGGAAGGCTTTTGTTTGTGCTCTTTGTTTTGGGGGTTGTTCGCTCTTGGGACTAAGAGGGACCAGACATCAATCCATGCTCTCCAAATCTTTCTGAACAAGTCTCTCATATTTCAAACTTGTAAGTAACAGCCAGGCAAGGCGTGTTAGGTTTATCTTTGTTTTCTCAACTTGTAAATGTTCCTTTTGCTAGAGTGTTTACCTCTGTTTGCTGTAACTTTGAACCTAAGGCTAGAGGGGGTTCCTCTGGGTTGTTTGAATCTGATTACCCTGTAAAGTTATTTTCCATCCTGATTTTACAGAGATGATTTTTACCTTTCTTTCTTTAATTAAAAGCCTTCTTTTTAAGAACCTGATTGATTTTTCCTTGATTTAAGATCCAAGGGGGTTGGATCTGGACTCACCAGGAAATTGGTGGAGAAGTCTCTCAAGGCTACCCAGGGAAGGGTTATATTACTTGGGAGGGAGATATTCTGTGGGGGTGGAGGGGAGGTAGACAGAGTTTCCCAAATAACTCATAAATAATTTGGGTGGTGGCAGCAAAAGCAGATCTAAGCTGGTAGTTAAGCTTAGAGGTTTTCATGCAGGTCCCCACATCTGTACCCTAGAGTTCATAGTGGGGAAGGAGCCTTGACAGTAGCCATGGCCACGGTGATGGAGTAGCCATGGCTGGTTTCTCTTGCAAGTGCTTTGTGACTGCTGGAGCCTGAATGGTGTGTGTCTCGTTAAAGCTGTTTGCAAACATTATGGGAAAACAACTTGCATTTGATATGCCTATCTCATAGAACTGGAAGGGACCCTGAAAGGTCATTGAGTCCAGTCCCCTGCCTTCACTAGCAGGACCAAGTATTGTCCCTGAGATTTTTTGCCCCAGATCCCTAAATGGCTCCCTCATGGATTGAACTCACACCCCTGGGTTTAGCAGGCCAATGCTCAAACCACTGAGCTATCTCTCTCCCCCCCCCAAAAAAAAGAAAAAGAAAAAGAAAAAAAAATCATAGAATATCAGGGTTGGAAGGGACCTCAGGAGGTCATCTAGTCCAACCCCCTACTCAAGGCAGGACCAATCCCCAGACAGATTTTTTTTGCCACAGATCCCTAAATGGTCCCTCAAGGATTGAGCTCACAACCCTGGGTTTAGCAGGTCAATGCTCAAACCACTGAGCTATCCCTCCCCCCCTTTTACAACATGAATGTCAAAGAACATCCCACAGAGATGAAATGCCCAGCCTTCATTCCATGTTTGTAAATCCCTGACAGAGTATTCAAGTATTAGTATTCCATAACTCTGCTTTGCAGGGGATTGTACACAGGTCTGACCGCACCGAACAGGCCCAACACCCGCTTAGAACAAATCTTGACCCAGGATAGTATTGTCCCAGCCTTGAATAGAGCCCCAGACAAATTATTCTGCACAATTTTCATTGCCATTAACAGGAGTCAAGTGTGAAACTCTTATTCAGTGCTTCAGCATGTACAAATCCTGGCTGTGACATAGGTGGTTCTTCAATGCAAGTGGGCAGGGTGAAGCCCTTTGTCTGATACACAACATAGAGAGATCTACGGTTTTCAGAATGTATAGTCTATTAGAGAAGAGGTGAATACCAACAGGTCCTCTCCAGGAGAAAAGTTCTCCTCTCAGGATCCTCAGTGAGCTGCATTCGTAGGGGAAGAAGACTGAGCCAAGATCTCCTGTACAGATCTGAGGGGAGGATTTTGGCCCAAATTTGGTTCCCAAATAGTGGTTCCCCATTTAAGCAGCTATAAGTCTGTAAATATCCTTAACCCATAATCCCTTTTCCTTCAATGCACTGTCTGTACAACAGGTGACCGTAACTTTATTCCCCAAACACTACATACTACTTATAAACTTATCATTACAGTTCCCATGTCACTATAGAGCCCATTCGTCGTCTTTAAGCCAGGCAGTATAATAGGGGAGGAGTGCAGTGCCATGCTTCAGGGATTCTGGTCACTGGGGTCACACTTTAGCATAACTTTCACCCCCAAACCCTTCTTGGTTGTCTCAAAGGCCTCCAGCGCTTTTTCCAAAGGGAAGCGGTGTGTAACCAAAGACGTGATGTCCACTCTCTTGGATGCAAGCATAGAAATCGCCATGGGCCACCTGGAAGGGAACACAAACAGTGAAAGATAAGGGTAGCCCTCTAGGTCTAGGGAATTTGTATATTGACCAGCAGATCTGCGTAATTGCACAAGAACCATCCAGACATGAGGCAGCATTCTTACAACGCTCAGAAACAGGACATGACAGGTCTGCAGGGGCCTTCCTCAGTTATTGCTAAACAGGCGAGAAACAATTTCTTTAGAGCCCAGTTCCATATGTCACTCCCATAAAATCATGCAAAAGGCTTCAGGACTGAGCTCTCAAGCAGAGTGCAAAGCCTGCTCCTGATTAGCAGGGACTGTATGGGACAGGGCAGGTCCATGGCTCTGTCCCTGTCCCTACCTTCCACATTGGCAGGCAGAGCAGGCCAGGCTCAGAAGCGCACACGCTGCACCTGTTCAGGGGTGGAGCAGTGAGAACTCCAGGAGCTCCTTGAAGCACAGTGCCTCCCGGAGCTCCTGTTGGAGCAAGGGACCTCAACTGAGCTATCTGCTTGCAGCTCGTTTACATCCTGATTCTCTGCTTGCTATAAAACACCACCATAGTCTTTCTGTTTGGAAGCACTGAGCTTGCATTGGCCAAGGGTTTATGAGGTTTTGTGTATAAGGCAATGACTCCAAAGTGAGTACAGTAATACTGAGCCAATGGTTATGCACACTGTTCACATGGGACAGCTAGCTGTGGTCTGCTCCAGCAGAATAAGTGACAAGCATTGGGAGTTACTATGTATTCAAATCACAGCAAAATGAAGTTTGAAAAAATATCAGTGCTGCGCGCTGGTCCTTAATCGCTCTGCCTCCTTGGTTATGCATGTTGGTTACTAGGTAAAATCGAGACCTCTGGCATCTCTATTGTGTTTTTAGCTCAAATGGTTCACCTAGAGTTCAATGCATTTAAGGAGCCAGTGGTGTGTATCCACAGATAACTGCTTGTGCGTGCCAATACTGCCCCCTTTGGTGGTAAGAGGAGTATGGAAATTCACAGAGTAGCTTCCACGGGTTGGATTACACTTGTATTGGCTTACAGCTCAAACTCCGCCTGGTCAAAAGCTAGAATTCGACAGAGATTGATGGGATCTAACAAAACCAACACAGAAACAAACCTTCCATTTAAACAGATCCCCCAGGATGGACTTGAAGAGACAAAGATCTACACAAAACTAAGCCCAGCTCTGCCACATCAGCGAGACCAAGGTTATAGCCTGCTCCAGAGACAGGGTAAAGCACAGCTCAGTCCCATCTACACTGCGAGACTGACCTACATCCATCAACATGGCTGTTTCTACAGCATAGACCGGGGTGGGCAAACTTTTTGGCCCAAGGGCCACATTGGGGTTGCACAACTGTATGGAGGGCCGGGTAGGAAAGGCTGTGCCACCTCAAACAGCATGGCCCCCACCCCCTCCCACTTCCCGCCCCCTGACTGCCCCCCTCAGAACTCCCAACCCATCCAACCTCCGTTGCTCCTTGTCCCCTGACCGCCCCCTCCCAGGACCCCCGCCCCCATCCAACCTCCCTGCTCCCTGTCCCCTGACTGTCCTGACCCCTATCCACACCCCTGCCCCCTGGCAGCCCCCCCCGGGACTCCCACCCCCTATCCAACCGCCCTCTGCTCCTCGTCCCCTGACTACCTGCCCCTAACTGCCCCCAGGGATCCCACCCCCTTATCCAACCCCCCCCTGCTCCCTGTCCCCTGACTGCCCTCCCGACCCCTATCCACATCCCCACTCCCTATCCACATCCCCACCCCCGACAGGCCCCCTGGGACTCCCACTCCCAACCCTCCTTGTTCCCCATCCCCTGACCATCCCCCAGAACCTCCGCCCCATCCAACCGCCCCCCCTCCCTGACTGCTCCCCAGGATCCCCCGCTCCCTTACCAACAGCAGGAGCTCACAGCTGCGACACCCAGCCAGAGCCAGCTGCACTCCCCACGCTGCCTGCACAGTGGCGTGGCTGCGGGTGAGGGGGGACAGCGGGGGAGGGGCCGGGGACTAGGCTCTCTGGCAGGGAGCTCAGGGGCTGGGCAGGACGGGTCCTGCGGACCAGATGTGGCCCACGGGCCCTAGTTTGCCCACGTCTGGCATAGACAGAACCTAAAACTGTATAGATGAGGTCTAAATCTGTGTTTTCTTTATTCAGCCATTCTTTCAGAATTAAATTGCCATAAATCACATGACAATTCCATGAACAAACCCTTGGAGATCAGAGCTGGGAAACTACAGCCTAGACTAAGTGGAAAATCACCAAACTAGCAAGACTGGATCAAGCTTGTTATAGGTAAGGACCTACCAAATTCACTGCCATGAAAAATGCATCATGGACCATGAAATCTGATCTCCACCGTGAAATCTGGCTATTGTAGGGGAGATCAGATTTCACACAGTTGGGCGGCCAGAGAGCAGTAGCTGCTGACCAGGAGCTGAGCTCTGAAGGCAGTGTCACCCCCAGCAGCAGCGCAGAAATGAGGGTGGCATGTTATGGCGGGGGTCATCAATTTTTGGTGGGGTCAGGACTGGCCTTACAGGTGGGCGAGTGGGCAACCACCCAAGGCCTTGTGGTCAGGGGGGTGCCATGGTCACCCCCTCCCACACACACACACGGAGTCAGCCCAAGGCCCTTTTAACTCCCAAGCACTGGGTGTGGAGCCAGGAAGGGACAAGGCAGAGGGCACCCCAGCTGGGGGCTCCTACTGTCCGCTGGGCTCTAGCTGCTAGTCCCAGACAGGCTGGGGATGGACAGGACTTCCTTTTCCTCTGCACGGGCCATGTCAGACCCATCTCTGGGAACGTCCCCTGGCTGCAGGAAGCTCCACATCTGCTGTCTGGTAGTCCAGCTCTGAAGGCAGCGCTGCCGCTAGCAGCAGCGCAGAAGTGAGGGTGGCATGTATGGTATTGCCACCCTTACTTCTGCACTGCTGCTGGCGGTGGTGCTGCCTTCAGAGCTGGGCACCTGGCCAGCAGCTGCCCAGCTCTGAAGGCAGTAGCACAGAAGTAAGGGTGGCAATACCATGATCTCCCAGCAATAGCCTTGCAACCCCCCTCTCTACCACCTCTTTTTGGGTTAGGACCCCCAGGGTTACAATACCGTGAAATTTCTGATTTAAATATCTGAAACCATGAAATTTATTATTTTTAAAATCCTATGACCGTGAAATTGACCAAAATGGACCAGGAATTTGGTAAGGCCCTAGTTATAGGATACAAACAAGTAGGATCTTATTTTTACCCTCTAGATCTGCAGGATTGGTTGTTAAATCCAGGTTCATATCCCACTGCCACAAGAGGTCAAAACACACACGACAGGATTTTCAGAGGGTTTGATAATTTTGCAGCCAATAATGAGACTTGTGTCTATCTGCGTGAAGGCAGAGCTCTCAAACTTCTTCCCAGCACAGACCATATCTCATTACAGAGACTGCCTCATGGACACCTCCCACCCATTCTCCATTGCCCACCCCCCATTTCCTCACCGCCACCTCATCTCCCCACCTACTCACCCAACTTCTGGCCCTCATCTACCCACCCCCACATGCCCACTCATCCCCTATCTCCCAGTGCCCAGCTCCCCACCCATCCTGCATTGCCCACCTCCCCACGGATCCCTTGGCCACCACCTCCTCACTGATTCTCTATCGCCCAGCTCCCACCTCATCCCCCATCTGCTGGCCCCCACCTATACTCCAGACCCACCTCCCTATCCATCCTCCAACTCCTTACCCATCTCCTGGCCCCCATCTTCCCACCCAACCCCCATTGCCTATTCCCCCACCTCACTCATTGCCTGGCTCCCACCTCCTCACCTATCCCCACCATTCCTGTGTTGAAGTGGGAGCAGGTTTGCACTGCACACATTTGCCAGTTTCCCTAAAATGTTGCAGTGTCATTTGCAAAGCCAGCCAGTCTCCAAGACGCGTGATGCAGGAGGAGTGGGGCTGATGGTCTGACAGGGACCCTGCTCTGCAACAGGGACATTTACGTTGTCCTGAGAAGGAGTGATTAGAGGGGGAACATTACAGGGTCTTCCATTTCCTCCTTCCTTGTGGAGGAATTAATTCCTTCATGGACAATGGAGTAGTCTGTTGGCATGCCAGTGCACCCTGACCAATACTCACGTATTGCAGTAGCGAAATATCCCCTTGATATCCACCTCCCGCACAGCAGCATTCACGATGGGGACATGGACCATCTCCGGTCCCAGCCCCACCAGAACCAGGGTCCCGCCCGAGCGAGTGGCCTGAGAAGGAATAACAGAAACAAAATAAATGCAAGTGCTGCCTGCCCATGGAAGGTGACAAGCTCCTGTGTATATAGCAAAAATGGACATTGCTGCCAGTTTTCTGAGCAGGCTATAAAAGGAGTTGATACCCTAAAGCAGTGATTCTCAAACTTTTTTGATCGGGTCCCCGCTTCTGTGTGTCTGTAGTCATTTACACCCCACCCCACCCCCATTTCCCCCCAGTGCATATACCCAGGCAGAGTGGAGAACAGCGGTTGCTTGCTGGGTGCCCAGCTCTGAAGGCAGCAGCAGCAGCACAGAAGTAAGGGTGGCAATGTGAAAAGTGGTATTTGCCAATATCACTTTTCACAGCAGACTTAGTGCCCCATTGCCACCCTTACTCCTGAGCTGCTGCTGCCACCCCGGGGCTGACAGCCAGAACCCCGCTGCCTCCAAGTGAGCGATTGGGGAAGTGGGGGGAAGGAGAGCCTGAGCCTGGGCTGCCTCCTGGTGAAGGACGGGCCGAGGGAAGAGAGCCTGAACCTAAGTGGTGCGGCTCCAGCTGTCCCCTTTCTCCCCGTTTCCCGGGTGTGCACAGCTTTTCTTTATAAGCCCACCCACCAGGGGCTGACAGCCACAGCTCTTAAAAAAAAGCACACAGTTCACGTCTCCCTTGACACATTCCCGCACCTCCCTTGGAAGGCCTACCCCACAGCTTGAGAACCACTGCCCTAAAGCATGTACAGGCTTGTACTTGGCGCAGCTGGCCCATCCTGCAGTTCACACTGCCACAGCTACATTCTCTCTTTAGCATACTAGCTTGATGACAGCTCACACGAGTATGCCTCCTTCAGATGGGAAGCACACTCCCAGCTCCAAGTGTAGACATACCCAAAGGTGCTTTTGACGTTTCAGACAGTTTCCAATAAAACCACCCAGATCCCCTTCCCCATCATCCTGTGCATGGAGGTGTCCCATTCTCCTACCCTTCTAAGTCCTAAGGTGGCACTCCACAGCTCTTTGTACACACACAAGGAGGGGACAGAGAGTGGTCAGGACAGAGGGAGCAGTGAGTGGGCTGTGGAGAAGCACATTGCTCCCCCTCAAGCCCTGCAGAGCTTACCAGGAAAAAACAATACACTGTGTGGAGCTGAATTGTTTTTTCTACTGAGCTCCATGTATGGGCCCTAAGGACCTCTGGCAAGGGAGTCCCTGCTAGGTCAGCTCTCCTGGAGTCTAACTGCCAGGGGGCAGGGAGAAAGGCACTGGGGCAGAGCCTAAGGGTAAGGTGAACAGGTGCAACCTGCACGGCACTGATGTAATCACCTGTACACTGGGGTTTTGTACTGGGCTGCTCCACTAGTGGCTGAAACACCTGTGTAGACAAGGCCTAAGAAACAAACTATCCCAATTACTCTTATTAATTATTTGTGTAACAGTAGCATCTAGAGGCCCCAAGCAAGATTGGGGCTCCATTGCAAGAGACAGTCCCTGAGTCCCTGCCCCAGAAATTAGAATCTAAACAGACAAGCTGGACAGAAAGGGGAACAGGCAGGGTTCAAGGTCACACCGCACTGCAGTGTCGGGAGTGGGATTACAACTCAGCCCTTTTGAGTCACAGTCCACTGCCCTGCCACAACACTACGCTGTCAAAACATTAAAGTTGATAATAAAATAATTTCACGGCAGGAGTGCTCAGAATGTCTAATAATAACCTGCACATCTATTGATGAATTTATCATGCCTGAAACTGTGCTGCATACCAGCACATTATTTTGGATCTCTAAATAACGCTGTCAGTTGCTCCATAGCACATACAACTTATTGATGTTCTCAGTGGGTCTTCAATAACCCACCTGGGCTATATTCCTGTCTCTTGGCACCTGACCCAAGAAGGATCAATTCTCTTTCAAGCCTGGGATTGAGAAGTTTTCTGAAGAAAACACTGCTTAGTCACAAGTGCTGTTATTTGCACAGGCGTACGTGACTGCTGACAGGTTCCACAGTGCTCCAGACCACAGCAAGTGGGAGCTGCAGAGCACAGAGATAGGCATGTGCATCCTCACTGCAGGGACTGGCTCGTACCAGGGACCCCGCCTCACTGTAACTAAGGATATCTCAGCTCTTTGATACTGCTCTGGCAGCAAGAGATCTACAGATCTCTAGAGATCTTCTAGAGAAAGGGCCCTAGCTCCAGGATTCTGATGATGCTGAAAATCCAGACCATAATTTTCAAATGTCTGAAGTCTTCTTAGGCCATGAGTTCAATACAGTCACAATGATGTTATAGCAATTGTATGACAGGTGGAATGTATGGGACTAGGTCTGCACAAGGAGGAATGAATATGCAGATCTCTACCCGCCTGGCAGATGATTAGCCACCTCCGTGGAATCACTTGCTCCAACAACCCCCCCAAAAAGCGCTACTTGGGGCCATGAAGGAGACAGACCTGAGCAGCCTGGAGGGGGGGGGGGGAGGGAGAGGCAGAAAAGTGACATTGTTCCCCTTCTCCCAGTGGAGGTTCCCAGGAAAAGATGATGTTGCCAAACCAGAGTGTGAATCAGTGTCTAATCTCAGATAAGAGGCTAGGTTACACTCCCCCACAACACAAAGTGCAAGAGACGGCAAAATCCCACTGCTTGCAAATATAGCTCAGTTGTTACTAGGCTGCAGAGCAGCGCTCCTGATACAGGAGCTATCTATAGTGCAGCTTGTTTCAGAATCCCAGTGCTTCCGGGCACTACTTCCTCTAGGCTTCACTCATCTTGGTTAGTCACAGAAAACTTATGCAAATAGGTCTTTATTTAACTTAGCAATTGCCGAGACCCTGATTGCAAAATCAGTGGGGTCAGTGTAAACAATGGTAATGTTTCCTGCAGTAAATATAGACTCATAGTACATTAATATTACATCAGAGGGGGAGCTCATGTGATCACAGAGTCAGGACAGCATGGAAATGTAGGGCTGGATGAGACCTCAAGAGGTCATCCTGTCCAGCCCCCTGCACTCGGGCAGGACCAAGTAAACCTAGGTGAGTCCTGACAGGTGGCTGTCCTACCGGTTCTTAAAAACTTCCAATGATGGGGATTCCACAAACTCCCTTGGAATCCTGTTCCAGAGCTTAACTACCCTTAGAGTTAGAAAGTTTTTCCTAATATCTAACCTAAATCTCCCTTGCTGTAGACTAAGCTGATTACTTCTTGTCCTGCCTTCAGCGGACATGGAGAGCAATTGATCACAGTCCTCTTTATAACAGCCCTTAACATATCTGAAGACCATTATCGGGTCCCTCCTCAGTCTTTTCTCAAGACTAAACATGTCCAGTTTTTATAACTTTCCCTCATACGTTAGGTTTTCTAAATGTTTTATCATTTTTGCTGTTCTCTGGACTCTCTCCGGTTTGTCCACACCTTTCCTGAAGTGCAGCACCCAGAACTGGATACAATACTCCAGCTGAGGCCTCACCAGTGCCGAGCAGAGCAGAACAATTCTGTCCCGTGTGTTACATATGACACTCCTGTTAATACACCCTAAAATGATAGCCTTTTTTGCAATTTCATCACATTGCTGGCTCATAATTTGTGATCTACTCTAACCCCCAGCTCCTTTTCAGCAGTGCTACCACCTAACCAATTATTCCCCATGTTGTAGTGGTGCATTTGATTTTTCCTTCCTAAGTACAGTACTTTGCACTTGCCTTTATTGAATTTCATCTTGTTTATTTCAGACCAATTCTCCTATTTGTCAAGGTTGTTTTGAATTCTAAGCCTGTCCTTCAAATTACTTGCAACCCATCCCAGCTTGGAGTCATCTACAAATTTTATAAGCGTGGTCTCTGCTCCATTATTCAAGTCATTAATGAAAATATTGACGAGTACCGGACTCAGGACTAACCTCTGCAGAACCACATTAGATAGGCCTCCCGGTTTGACAGAAAACCATAGAATCATAGAATATCAGGGTTGGAAGGGACCTCAGGAGGTGATCTAGTCCAATCCCCTGCTCAAAGCAGGACCAATCCCCATTGCTAACTACTTTTTGAGCAGTCTTTCAACCATTTGTACACCCACCTTTATAGTCATTTCATCTAGACCATATTTCCTTAGTTTGGCTATGAGAATGTAATGTGGGACTGTATCAAAAGTAGGGCTATCAAACGATTAAAAAAATTAATCGCAATTAATCGCGCAATTAAAAAAAAATCAATAGCGATTAATTGCACTGTTAAACAATAATAGAATACCATTTATTTAAATATTTTTGAATGTTTTCTACATTTTCAAATATATTGATTTCAATTACAACACAATAAAAAGTGTACAGTGCTGACTTTATATTTAAGTATTTGCACTGTAAAAAAACAAAAGAAATTGTATTTTTCAATTAACCTAATACAAGTACTGTAGGGCAATCTCTTTATCATGAAAGTTGAATTTACAGATGTAGAATTATGTACAAAAAAACCTGCATTCAAAAATAAAACAATGTAAAATTTTAGAGCCTGCAAGTCCACTCAGTCCTATTTCTTGTTCAGCCAATCACTCAGACAAACAAGTTTGTTTACATTTGCAGGTGATAATGCTGCCCGCTTCTTGCTTATGTCACCTGAAAGTGAGAACAGCAGTTCTCATGGCACTATTGTAGCCGGCGTCGCAAGATATTTACGTGCCAGATGCGCGAAAGACTCATATGTCCCTTCATGCTTCAACCACCATTCCCGGGAACATGCGTCCATGCTGATGACGGGTTCTGCTCGATAATAATCCAAAGCAGCGAGGACCGACACATGTTCATTTTCATTATCTGAGTCAGATCCCAACAGCAGAAGGTTGATTTTCTTTTTTGGTGGTTCGGGTTCTGTAGTTTCCGCATTGGTGTGTTGTTCTTTTAAGACTTCTGAAAGCATGCTCCACACCTCGTCCCTCTCAGATTTTGGAAAGCACTTCAGATTTTTAAACCTTGGGTCGAGTGCTGTTGCTATCTTTAGAAATCTCACACTTGTACCTTCTTTCGTTTTGTCAAATCTGCAAATCAACTACTACATGACCCCAGCAGGAGGGACCGAAGCTTGAGCCCACCCAAGCCCCACCACCCCGGGTGGGGGGCCAAAGCCAAAAGGCTTCAGCCCCAGGCAGAGGGCCTGTAATCTGAGCCCCAGTGCTCAGGCTTTGGCTTCAGCCCTGGGCAGTGGGGCTCGGGCTTCGGTTTCAGTCCTGGGCCTCAGAAAGTCTAAGACAGCCCTGGTGACCCCATTAAAACGGGGTCGTGACCCACTTTGGAGTCCCAACCCACAGTTTGAGAATCACTGCACTACAGTATTTGTATGAGGTGAATTGAAAAATACTATTTCTTTTGTTTATCATTTTTACAGGGCAAATATTTGTAATAAAAAATAATATACACTTTGATTTCAATTACAACACAGAACACAATATATATGAAAATGAAGAAAAACATCCAAAATATTTAATAAATTTCAATTGGTGTTCTATTGTTTAACAGTGCGATTAAAACTGCGATTAATCGCGATTCATTTTTTTTTAGTTAATTGCCTGAGTTAACTATGATTAATTGACAGCCCTAGTCAAAAGCATTACTAAAATCAAGATATATCAGATCTAGTGCTTCCCCGTAGCATTAGGCGAGTAACCCAGTTAAAGAAGGAAATTAGGTTGGTTTGGCATGACAAATCCATGCTGGCTATTCCTTATAACCAGAAGACATCTGGTCGATGATCAGTCCCATAATTGTAGGCACAAATACTAGCATTGCTATGGCAATCTCATGGATAGCAATGAGAATCCTGCACAAATACTGAGGGGAAGATGGGACCAGTGCTTGAGAGCCTAGAGATGGAAAAGGCCCATCAAGTCAGAGCTGTTCCCTAGAATACATTACCCTGTGTTTTGTCTGTACCATTCTACATCCTAGCAGAGTGCACAGTAGGGGGTATGGCCCTGTGATTCAGCCTGCATTTTCACTTACTTGGCTTCATTTCAGTGCTCCTAGTTCTTACTACAACTAGCCTTCCAACAGCACTGCTAGTGTACAAAGGGTGCATGAAGCAAGTTGCCCAGAAAAGCTCACAAGGCAAACAATACATACATACACAAGCCAAGGGACAGCGTGCACAGTGGAGAACCCGATAGTCCTGGGAAAGGTGGGTCTGAAGGTGAAATTTGGGGTAAGACAGAAGAAGAAGGTGCTTGGTGGACAAAATCTCGGAGACAATTCCAGGCTTGGGAGGAGTGGGGGCAAGTCATGAGTGGGAGGAGACACAGGAAGCAGTGAGGAGAGTATATGAAAGATGAAGAGGGGACATATGACAAATTGGGGATGCTAACAGATAATGGAGTGGGGAGATGAAGAGCCATTGAAGGAGATACTGTAGAAGTCAGCAAGGCAGGAGGAGGATGGGAAAACACAACATCAATCAAGGATGGGAAAACACAACAGTTCTGCCAATCACCATTACCCACAGGAGACCACGGCCAGTTGGGAGCCAACACAACACATTCCCTTGGGCTGATGCAACCCTCTCTCTCTTGCATGCTGTGTGCTGCTAGCTGCAAGGGAAGTGGAGCTGCTCACCTCAATCAATGGCCAACATTGACATCTACAAACAGGAGAGGTGAAGGAGCAAGGAGAGGACACAATGCATAAAGAACTCAGCATCCTCTCTATGCCACACCTCAGTACAGAGTACTGCACAGTAAGCCAGAGACCATCCCTGGAAATACAAATCAGGGCCTATGTAGTCAGAGAGTCTAGGGGCCCAACTAGGGACATCCTAAAAGGACCCAGTTTTCAGAAATTATTGAGCACCTGCCCTGTGAAATTCAGGCTTCTTTAAAGTTAGGCACCCAAAAATCATAGCAGCTTTGGAATATTTAGGCCAAGGTCCCCTGCACAGAGGAAAAGAGCACTCCCAGTCCCTGATAGTATGGGGAGGGCATGGCTACCCCATGGCACAGAACTCAGCTCTCCTGCAGGGGAGCAGAGCAATATTATTTCTGCATATGCACACTCAACTAAGTTCTGCCCTGAGATACACACACACAAGTTAGAGGGAAGTAAATGCACATATGCTATCGACCACTAACTCTGCTTAAGGTGGCACAGAGGACTGACAGCTCCATTGCAAGCCTTGGCACTGACACAGATCCACCACAAGGTAAATTCAGCCAAGTGGCCTCAGGGAGACTATGGTGGGTGCAGCCCTCCGTCTGCCTGAACAAGCGGCTGCACGCCAGCAAAGGACTGAAATCTCCATTGTCATGCATTGACTCTGCCCTGCTGGTAGAGGAGTCTGGCCAGTAAAGTGGGTTTCTCACACAGTTTCACCTCTCATTTTATTTTTAGCCACTGCAATGACCAACCTGAAAGGAGAGAAGTAAATGCTGGCACTGATCTTGGATAGGGGAAGGAGGAACTCACGTAAATGCCAGTTTGGATGTTGGCCTCTGCCCCGGAGCACTCCACGGTTATGTCAGGCATGCAGTTAAGCAAACCTTGCACCATGCAGGCCATGTCCTTTGGGGTTTCTTTCTTTATCTGAATGGTGAAATCTGCCCCAATCTCTTTGGCTTTTTCCAGGCGGGAGGCGGATAAATCTGGGGAAGGAAGAAATAAATCACAGAATTGCAGCTGGCTGACAAACGTCATGCAAGAAAAGATGTCACACAGAGAGGTCCTGCAGCAAGCATGCCCAGTGGGGCATGGGCACACTGTATGCACACAATGCAGGCACATTGGGTGGAAAAGTCTGGTTCCCCTTCAGAACTCCCCCAGCCTGACGGTGCGCAGATGGGGTAGGAGATCAGCTCTCCTCTCTGGGCTGGTGGGGAAAGATGTGCAACAAGCAACTTAAAGGCAAAAGAGATGCCAACAGGACTCTGGCCACAGGGAAAGTTGCCGCTTTCAAAGATGCTGAGGTCTTAATATTCTGAAGCCCTTAGACAAGTCATTCTGACCAGGGCATGTAGCAAAGGTGCAGCTGCAGGCACCTGACAACAATGAGGTTCTCTACAGATGTAACATTATCACCATGTAAAAGCAGCAAAGAGTCCTGTGGCACCTTATAGACTAACAGACGTAT